GACAACAGGCACACGAAAAAATGCTCATCATCACTGGCCATCAGAAAAATGCAAATCAAAACCACCATGATATATACCATCTCACACCAGTTAGAATGGCAATCATTAAAAAATCAGGAAACAACAGGCGCTGGAGAGGATGTGGAGCAATAGGAACACTTTTACACTGTTTGTGAGGATGTAAACTAGTTCAACCATTTGGAAGACAGTGTGGCGATTCCTCAAGGATCTAGAACTAGAAATACCATTTGACCCAGCCATCCCATTACTGGGTATATACCCAAAGGATTATAAATCATGCTGCTATAAAGACACATGAATACGTATGTTTATTGCGGCAGTATTCACAATAGCAAAGACTTGGAACAAACCCAAATGTCCATCAATGATAGACTGGATTAAGAAAATGTGGCACATATATACCATGACATACTATGCAGCCATAAAAAAGGATGAGTTGATGTCCTTTGTAGGGACATGGATGAAGCTGGAAACCATCATTCTCAGCAAACTATCACAAGGACAGAAACCCAAGTACCACATGTTCTCACTCATAAGTGGTAAATGAACAATGAGAACACTTGGACATAGGGTAGGGAACATCACACACTGGGGCCTGTTGTGGGGTGGGGAATGCGGGGAGGGATAGCATTAGGAGATATACCTAATGTAAATGATGAGTTAATGGGTGCAGCACACCAACATGGCACATGTATGCTTATGTAACAAACCTGCACGTTGTGCAAATGTACCCTAGAACTTAAAGTATAATAAAATAAATAAACAAATAAACAAACAAACAAACAAATAAATAAATATTGAAGCCCTGAGAATCACCTTTGGAGAAAAGCAAAAAAAAAAAAAAAAAACTCAACCAAATTTTGCCTATAAGAAACTCACTTAATCTGCAAAGACATAATAGACTAAAAGTAAAGAGAAAAAAGTATTTCATGCAAGCAAAAACCAAAAGCAAGCAAGAATAGCTATACTTACATCACATAAAATAAACTTTAAGTCAGAAACAGTAAAAAGAGACATAGAAAATTCTTACATAATGATAAAGGGGAAAATTCAGAAAGAAAATATAACAATTCTAATGTATAGGCACCCAGCACTGGAGCACCCAATTATATGACACAAATATCATTATATCTAAAGGGAGAGATAGACTCTAATACAGTAATAGTTAGGCACTTCAACACTCTACTCTCAGCACTAGATAGATTATCTAGACAAAAAGTAAACAAAGAAACATTGGATTTAAGCTGCACTTTAGACAAAATAAAACTAACATTAGGAGCATTCTAACAGAACCATTTTATAAAACATTTTATCCAACAGCTGCAGAATACATTCTTCTCATCAGCACATGAAATATTCTCCAGAATAGATCATATGCTAGGCTAAAAAAACAAGTATCAAGAAATTTCAAAAATTCAAAATCATACCAAGTATCTCCTCAGAACACAACAGAATAAAACTAGATATCAATAACAAGGGGAACTTTGGAAACTGTACAAATGCATGAAAAATAAACAACATGCTACTGAATAACTATTGGTAAATAAAGAAATTAATGAGTCAAAAAATATCTTGAAACAAATGAAAATGGAAACACAACATACTAAAACCCAGGAAGACAGCAAAAGCAGTGCTAAGTGGAGAGTTTATAACAATAAATGTCTACATCAAAAAAGCAGAAAGATTTCAAATAAAACAATCCAATGATGTACCTACAGGAAATAGAAAAGCAAGAACAAACCAAACCTAAACTTAATAGGAGGAAAAAATAATAAGTATCAGAGAAGTAAACAAAATAGAGACTTAAATAGATACAAAGAATCAACAAAACAAGATGTTAGTTCTTTTAAACTATAAAATTAGTAAACTACTATCAAGACTAACCCCCCAAAAAAGAGAGAAGAGCCAAATAAATAAAATCTGAAATGAAAAAGCAGAAATTACAACTGATAGCAAGAATTATAAAAGATCATCAGAGATTAGTGTGAACAACCATATGCTAACAAGCTAGAAAACCTAGAGGATATGGATAAATTCTTGAAAACATACAACCTACCAAGATTGAACCAGGAAGAAATTTAAAAAGAAGGAAAACTGAATAGACTGATATGAGTAACAAGACTGAACCAGTAACAAAAAAAAAGTCTCTCCACAAAGAAAAGTCCATGACCAGATAGTTTCACTGCCAAATTCTAACCAAACTTACAAAAAAAGAATGAATATCAGTTCTCCTCTCTATTCCAAAAATTTGAAGAAGAGGAAATTCTTCCCAGCTCATTCTATGATGCCAGCAACATTCTGATACTAAAACCAGAGATCCAACAACAACAACAACAAAAATCAATCTATCAAAATAAAAACACTATGGACCAATATCGATGATGAACATAGATCCAAAAATCTTCAATAAAATACTACAATAGCAAACTAAATCCAACAGCACATCAAAAAGATAATATACCACAATCACGTGAGATTTATCCCAAGAATGTAAATATGGTTAACACATACAAATCAATAAACATGATACATCATATCAACAAAATAAAGAACAAAAACTACATGACCACAAAAAAAGCATAAAATTCAACATGATGAAAATACTCAACAAACTCGGCCTAACAGAACATAACTCAATATAATAAAGGCCATATGTGGCAAACCTATGGCTAATATACTGAATGAGGAAAAGCTGAAAGTCTTTTCTCTAAGAACTGGACCACAACAAGGATGCCCACCTTCACCACTCCTATTCAACATAGGACTAGAAGTCCTACCCAGTGAAACTGGGCAAGAAGAAAAAATAAAGTGCCTCCAAATTGGAAAAGTCAAATTGTCTCTCTTTACAGATGACATTATCTTATACTTAGAAAAACCTAATAATTACACCAAAAACCTTTTAGATCTAGTAAACAAGTTTAGTAAAGTTGCAGGATGCAAAATCAGCATACAGAAACCAGTAGTGTTTTCATATACCGATAATGAACTAGCTGAGAAAGAAATCAAGAAAGCAATCTCATTTACAATAGCTACCAAAAAAATACCTAGAAATAAATTTAGCCAAGGAGGTGAAAGATCTCTACAGGGAAAACTACAAAACACTGACAAAAGAAATTGAAAAAGACACAAACAAATGGAAAGATATCCCATGCTCATGGACTGGACAAACTTAGATTGTTAATTTAATCATACTACCGAAAGCAATACATAGATTCAATGCAATCCCTATCAAAATCAAAATAACAATGACATTTTGTATAGGAAAAGATAAAAACAATCATAAAAATTTTTATAGAACCAGAAAAGAAAAAAAATCATAAAATTTTTATAGAACCAGAAAAGAAAAAGAAATCATAAAATTTTTATAGGACCAGAAAACAAATATTCAAAGCAATCTTAAGAAAAGGAATAAACCTGGAGGCATCACACTACCTGACTTCAAATTACATTACATAGCTATAGTAATCAAAATAATAATAATATTTTTATGCCAAAACATTGGCATAAACACTGATACATAAACCAAAGGGACAGAATAGAAAGCCTAGAAATAAACTCATGTTTTTACAACCAACTGACTCTTTACAAAGGCCTCAAAAACATACATTGGGGAAAAGACACTCTCTCAATAAATGGTGAAGGGAAAAGTGGATATCCATATGCAGAAGAGTGAAATTAGCAGCCTATCTTTCACCATATACAAAAATCAATTTAAGGTGGATTGAAGACTTAAACTTAAGATCAAAAAGAGAGGGCCTGGAGCGGTGGCTCATGCCTGTAATCCCAGCACTTTGGGAGGCTGAGGGCAGATCACGAGGTCAAGAGTTCAAGACCAGCCTGGCTAACATGGTGAAACCCCATCTCTACTAAAAATAAAAAATTAGCTAGGTATAGTGGAGCACACCTGTAATCCAGGCTACTCAGGAGGCTGAGGCAGGAGAATCGCTTGAACCTCGGAGGCGGAGGTTGCAGTGAATCGAGATCATGCCACTGCCTGGCTGACAGAGCAAGGTTTCATCTCAAAAAAAAAAAAAAAATCCAAAAGAGAAAGAAATAGTGGAGACACTCCAGGTCATTGGTCTAGGCAAAGACTTTATGGTTAAGACCTGAAAAGCACAGGCAACAACAACAAAAAATAGACAAATGGGACTATGTTAAACTAAAAAGTTCTGCACAGCAAAGGAAACAACAAAGTGAAGAGACAAAAGGTTGAAGGGAAGAAAATATTTGCAAATTATTCATCTGACAATAGACTACTATTCAGAGAGTACAAAGAACTTAAACTACTCAACAATAAAAACACAGTTAAGGACATGCATTGAAATACATATGTAACCATATGGGGTAGCCTGGAGAATGTTCTGAGGCAGACTGCTCTCAGGCTCCAGAGGTGTACACTTTGGTTCCTTTTGTCCCAGCGGCAGCCTCCCCAGTGTGCTGCACCACCCATTCCTCAGGCATAGGACACTGCATGAGCTAGGGTGCTGGGGACCCCGCAGTGTCATACCTCTGCTACACTCTGGGTGAATGTGAAGAGATGTCAGTGGGACTTCAGAGATGTGGAGACACCGGGGCCGTTGGGCCCTAGGGCAGGATGCAGTCTAGTGCACACTGGGCTGGGTTCTCTAGCTGCTATGCTACAGCTACTTAGGTCTCAGGGAGTGTGCAGGACCCAGTGTGAGCTTCCTCTCTGGAGCAAGGCCATTGTGCGATCTTCATGAAGTTCCCTATGCTATTCTCAGGGCCCAAGAGGGTCTAGGGACTCTCTCATGGCTAGAATTGCAGGGGTCCATAGTGAAAATGTGGACCACTAGAATCTCTCACCCATCGTTTCCTTGCACTGGGGAGTCTCCAACTGCAGCCAACCTGGCTGCCTGACTTCGCCTTTCTTCTCTTCCTCAGGTGTTTCCTATCACTTCTCTGTTGAATTTCATTGTTCTTTCTTAGATGCTCTAATTGAAGTTTGATTATCTACTCACTATTTTGATTCTTCTTTGTGGAGGACGGAAAAGCCAGATACTTCTAGTCAGCCATCTTGAAGCCTCGTTAGTCCAAAAGTTTTATCAGCAAAATCTGCAGAGCAATCCAGAGCAAAACCTCCTTAGCCACCTTTGCTTTTCTACACAAAATAAACATTTTATTTAAACCCCAACATATAATACTAGTAAGTATTGCATAGAGATCTACAGTAATGAAGTAGAAAGTTTAAATAGCTAACTGGAGAAAGTTGATAATTATTTTATTCTCTTAGATGAAGAATTAATTTTTGTCATTATGATGAACATTAGAGTTATCAAATAAGAGAATTTGGAAAAAGAAGTGTCAACATATGATTAATGCCCAAGAAGCAGTATAGAATGGAGATTAAATGTGTACATTAGGTCAGATCTTGGTTTAAATCGGGGGAATCCTGAGAAAGTCTCTCTGAGCCTCCATTTTTCTTTACAATAAAATGTACAGTTGCCTCCTAAGGTTGTTGGGAAGAATAAGTAGATACATGAGATGGAGCAGCCAATAGATAATAGATAATAAATGGTAGGAATGTATTAAGTTCATTATAGTTGATGAATTGTGGATGTTAACTATTCCTTTTTTTCTAGACTTTGACAAAAATTTTAAGTGTTAAACTATTATCAATCACTTTAGAGTTCACTTCTGAAACAAAACATCACATTTAACCAGGCAAGAGTTCACTTTATATGGTAATATTTCACAGTTGTGCTTTAATGTATTTATTTTGGTTCTATCAGTCAACAACTCTTCACTTTCCTTATCTTCAATCTGAAATACTTCAATAAAACGTATCCTTTTATAGATGTATGTGTCAACATTAACTCTTCTCTACATTATAAAATGACAACAATGAAAAGATAATGTTTTGAGTTACTCTAGCATTGTACCTTCTTATTACATCACTAGTGGAACCAATAACATGATTTGTCTTAAAAGTTCTTCTTCAGGAAAGTAATTAGAGCATCCAATTCCTAAGAAATAATCAATTTTCCTGTAACACAAATTCTCAGATATTTTATAGTCTCTCATTTGCCACCTTTCAAGTTAAGAAAGCATAAGAATAAAAGGAAATAATTAGTCTACGTGACATAGCACTCATTAAAGACACTGAGAACATGCTCCAGAATGTAAAGAAGAAACACTGAATAAGGGTTAAAAGAACTGGAACATGATCTCACCTTCACCATTCATCAGCTTTGGCCACTTAAGCTCTCTGAGCTTTAATTTTCTTATCTATATATTGAGAATAATAATATATAACTCACAAGGTAATGTGAAAATTAAATGTAAAGTGCCAAAGCTGGTGCTCACATGTAGTAGGTCCTCCAAAACTTAATAAATAAATATAAAAAAAAGAAAATGCCTGAATATTCCCTGCAGTTATCTCTCCTCCCTAGGTTTTACAAAAGAAAATTAATTCTGTTAAAGCATCTTCTAAAAGCACTAGTTTTTTAATAGGTTTAACATAAGAACTCTTTTTCAAGCAAAACTTTATGTGGAAGGATAAAATGTCATATGTTAAATGGTCAGAAGCAGAGCACTTTCTTACAATCACCAACCCACCCATCCATCCACCTACTAAATGTCATTGTCAATAGGTGTCAGGCATGGTGCTAGACCCTGGGAATACAAAGAATGACATATGGCTCCTGCTTTTAAGGAAATGGCATACAACCCTATCTAACCTCTTCTCCTGGATGAATGTGACATGCTGGTTGGTGCAAGTATAGCATCAGGGATGGACACACAATAACTATGGTCAGGTGTAAAGGCACATGGAATAAACTGTTGACTGTAGACTCCGCATAATATAACACAAAGTCAGACTTGAATGATGCTGCTGGGAGCAAGAAACAGTTTGAAACATCACATGCACAAGGACAGGTAGAAAACAAGAAGCAGTTCCAACAGGAAGGCTCAACTCTAAAGTCAAGCAAGGCAAAACAAAAACATTATCTGTCCAAAGGCAGACAATGGAGAAATCTCATGTGGTGGTACTTTACTGGAGAGGGGTTAAAATTCAAGGGGCATGGATGCTTGAGGATTGGGTAGAAGTAAATGGCTTAGAGCAAGTTTGAATAAGGAGATGATGAAAATACAGGAAAAAGATACTCAGTGAAGTAATAATATGTGAAATTGTATGATACAAGGTTCAGTGAGGCACCACATCCTAGGAGAAATGTTGATTATTTATAATGCATTCAGAGGAAAGAACTGTATGAGGAAATGGTGCAGATATGATTTCATGCTGGGAATATTTGCACCAACTGGGCTTATGCAGCCTGAAGAAGAGAAGGTTTAATTGTGCTGTGATAGCTGCAGTGGACTAACTGTATGTGTCCCCAAACTTCATATGTTGAAATCCTAATCCCTAATTTGATGGCATTAGGAGGTGAGGCCTTTGGGAGGTACTTAGGACATGAGGGTGGAAGCCTCATGAAAGGGATTGGAGCCCATATAAAAGGGACCCCAGAGAAATGCCATGTGAGGACACAAGGAGAAGATAGCAGTCTGCAATACAGAAGAGGAGCCTCACTGGAACTCAACCACGCAGACATTGTGATCTTACAGTTCCAACCTGAAGAACTGTCAAAAATAAATGTCTGAAGTTTCTGAGACACTCAATCATAAAATTTTTTTATGATTTTGTTATAGTAGCCTAAACTGACCAGATGATAGCTGACTCCAAATATCTAAATGACTATTGAGGAAAGAGGAAACACATTCCGAGTAGCTCCACAAAAGCCGTTCCCAGAGTTTTCACTGTGATCTCTAGTCTCTTCTGAGATCCAGATCAATATATCTAATTGTAATCTGCATAGTTAATTCAGGCTGTACACTTGAACTTTAAACATAATTGCCTAAAACTGATTGTTTTACACTTCCCACCAGAACTCCTTCTTATTCAAAAATCTCTATCCTTTTTTTTGGCATCTCCATACCAAGACAGAAACCTGAAAGTCATCCAAGGTGCTTTCTCTAGTACCTCTCCATCAATTTAGTTACGTCCCCTAGCTTCTCACTGGTAATGTCAACATTCAAGCTTCAGCATTTCTTACCTATGCAATGACAATAATCTGCAGGGGTCTCCCCAACTACAGACCTACCCTCTTGCAATTAATCTCTGCACCAAAATATTTTTTCTAAACAACAGTTATGGATCCCTGTTGCCTAGAATAGCCTTGCCAGTGCACACAATACCAGGTCCTATAGGCAGGGTATGAACAGGTGTTAGGAGTTTCTCAGTTACAGAAGTTTGGGAAACAGAGTTTAATAAAAACCTGTCTTAGATATCAAAATCAACATCAGCATAATAATACCTGAGGAGCCTTTAAGTAAAAAAAAAAAAAAGAACTTAAATGTGTAACCAATGTTTCTTTTTGACTACTTAATCCCTCTTAGCTTTTTAAAGAGTTGGTATTCCATAGAATATATTTCAGTGAACCCTGGACTGTAAGATGAAATCTCAACTCAGTATTGTGGCCTGTAGAACCATTCATAAGTGGTTTTCAACTTTATCTACTAGTGTATTATTAATTAGTCAATTCAGTAAATATTAATTGAACTGCTATGATGTTATGTGCTAAAGATACAATAGTGAGCAACTAGACATGGTACCTGTCTTCAAGTATTTATTTCTAGTTTCCAAAATGACCATCTTTTTCTTTCTTCAAGCCTTTGCACATACTATGCCTACTCCTCCGAATATCTTCCTCTATCTTCACCTGACAAACTCCTCTCTATTCTTCAGTTGTTTACTCCCTGAACTGTGAGGTCCTTGACCATAGAGAATTTCTTATTCACTTTTATTTTCTTATTCCTAGTGCCGTACCTGACACCTAGTTCTGGTCAATAGATGCATATTACATTAATAAATGTATAAATGACAAGATTAAAATTCCTTCTTTTTAATATTAAATAAATCCGTTTAAAAATCAAATTAAAACATGTTATTATAGTAGAGTGTTTGCAAATTAAAAAAAATAATGTATTACTTGAAGTAAATGCTTATAAGTGTCTTTTAAAATTTTTATCTTCTGACTTCTTATCATAGTTGTTTGGCATAAATTACAGGTACAACTGTCATAGTCCTAATTGTGCATGAAATACTAATTTGCAAGAGTTTTAAAATTTTATGTTACATGGAAATGGAAGTAAAACATCAATTAAAAACTACATTTCAATTGTAAATAATCTCATCTCAGGAAAACACAAATATACAGTAAAATCACTTTATTTTATCACTAACATAAACTCTAAGTCACAAATGTTCACCTTTTGGCATTTCATAAGCTTGAAGAAGCTAAGAAAAAATGGCACAGATTGCCAAGAGTTGAAGAGTCAGAGAACTAAGGTTTTTTTTTTACACTAAAAACAGTGAATATGTTAGTTCTTTATAGCTCAAGTATGATTCAAACATTACCTAGATCTGTTACAGTCAAGTGTCAACAAGTGGGTCATTCTGGTGAATAAATTTATAGAGAAATATTTATATACCAGTGAAGGTAAAGAAAAAGACATGATATAAATAGAGGAAAGAAAACTTGAAGATAGGAAAGGGTCTAGAAATTGACAAAGGGCTGGTAAATATGGAAGCTAAGGCATGGATACATGAGATCATTATACCATTCTATCTACTTTTGTGTATAATTTTTTATAATAAAAAGGCAAGAAGGGAGAAATAAAAAATTCAAGAAGTAAAAGAGGGAGGGAAGAGAGAAAGAAAAGAATAATATACTGGGAAAAGGAAAAAAATGAAAACAGGCACAAAAAAAGAAAAATATATTTTGCCAACCTGGACTACATAATGGCAACATTCTGGTTGGCCCATGATTCAGTATATTTGATCTTTTGGGTCCCTTTTGTGAGATAATCATGTTTTTATGATCATTATTTATTGAACATGTATTTATAAGTCAGGGGCTTTACATGTATTATCATACTTGGTCCTTGCATGAACCCTATGGTTGGTACTGTTACTACCTATGTTGAGAGATGACAAAGTGAAACTTAGAGATAAGTGACTTGCCCCAGTTCTCACAGTTGACAAGTGTCAGTACTGAATTTCAAGCCAGGAATGTGTGACTGCAGAGGCAGAACCATCATGCACTGTTACATGTTACATAAGCAGCTCATCTGCACACCTTGTTTTGGCTTATATTGTGATTCAGGTTGATCCAAAGATATCAGGGTAAAGTGTTGTGGAATAACTGGGATGCGCTAGAGCTAGATTGTCAGCTAAAATATACTTCATAAGAGAGACCATTTTTCTTTTTGACTTAAAATCCATTTATATATTTTTGTATCCAGGAGAATATTTTTAAAGTTATTACATTTACAAGCATATTGATATCTGTTGCAGATATTCTATTTTAAGAAACAATATTTTTTACATGCACAGTAACTACATATATCAGTGCAAAAATTAAATTTGTCAGTAAGACAGTGCTACTTTATATAAGTGGCCTTCAATTATACTTTGAGCCCCCATTTCACCATATATGGGTGCCCATATTTTCAGACAATTTGGGTTCTTTCATTTTCTCTCCAAGCTATGTCTAAATTCCAGGGCATTTCTGTAGTGAGATAGCGGAAGGGAGCAGTGAAACAGTATGTCTAATCCTTGAATGTCATGAAAACTACACACTGGCATTCCATTAGATGTTACTGCCTAGTGTTCAATCAGCAGTACACATGGATCACTGCAGCTTTCTTCCATTTCCAGGTCACAAGGTTTCTTCAGGTCTTGTGTACTCTCTCTCATTGGCTGCCCTATCCTTCTCAAATGCTTCTTCACTCTTTTGGGGCAATAAGAAGCTCAGAGGGGCTATCTAAAGCTCTCCTGTGAAGATTCCTTAAAGAACTAAAAGTAGAACTACCTTTTCATCCAGCCATCCCACTACTGGGTATCTAGCAAGAGGAAAAGAAGTCATTATGAGAAAAAAGATACTTGCACATGCATGTTTATAACAGTGCAATTCGCAATTGCAAAAATGTGGAACCAACCCAAATGCCCATCAATCAATGAGTGGATAAAGAAACTGTGGCAAGTCGTATAATTATGTTATTATATATTACAATGTAATAATAATAGAAATAAGGTGCACAATAAGTGTAACATGCTTAAATCATCCTGAAACCATCCCCCCTTCCAGATCCATGGAAAAATTATCTTCCATAAAACTGGTCCCTGGTACCAAAAACATTGGGGACCACTGTACTAGGTAATGGGCATTACAAAATTTTGTTTGCTTCTTGTGCTGGGCTCTCTGGGGTTCCTGCACATCAACCCGACTGCCAGATTGTAGACCAGAGTCTTGAGTCAACTGATGAGCTCATCGAACGTAGCTTTCATCTTTGTTCCTGTTTTTTTTTCTTTTGTTTCTTTCAATTATTTCCGCTTGATTCTCTCTTGTAGTCTTCATCTTGCTGCTGAAATTTCCCATCTGATCTTGTATGTGGCCAACTTTTTATTAGAATCTTTAACATATTCTTTATGTTAAAGGATCTAACATATTCTTTAACATAAGTGGCCTTTAATTATACTTTGAGCCCCCATTCCACCATATATGGGTGCCCATATTTTCAGATAATTTGGGTTCTTTCATTTTCTCTCCAAGCTAAAGAAATCCTTAGATCCTTTAACGTCTGTGTCACAGCCATATTTGATATTGACGATAGTTTTGTACCTCAGGAGTGGTTTTCTCGCCTTTTTCTATGCCTTGTATTTTTTCGTTAAGAGCCAAATATCTCATGTTGGAGAGTAGAGGTTGAGATAAATAATTTTTATGCCTCAACATGGGCGCTCTTTGTACTTGTAGGTCTTCATCGTGGGGTTTTGAGTTAATATAATCAGGAATCTGTCTGGGTTTGAGGTTTACTGTTTTATGTTTACCCAGAGGGCACTGTAGAGTTTAAAATATTCTGGTGACACCTTTGTGTATAAAGTCACGTTGATTTACCACAGCAGTGTGTGTTAGACCACAAGCTGTAAGGTGTACCTTTATGTTGTGTCTCTGAAAGTGTTTCTTTGCCTTCTGTTTTTCTCTCCCACACCTCTCCCAGCAGTAATCTGCTTTTGCTATTTTGGGTGTGCTGGGCTGTGGGGCAATATGGGGAGCATTCTCTATTCAAATTAAGTTTTACTCTTAGTCAGGTGGTGTGTCCTTGATTCTTGGATCCCTGAACTAGGATCTGGGGATTGGGCTGATACAACAGGAACTCTAGAGAGCCTTCAGCTCTATTGTCCTTCTTTAGGAGTAGATTTTTTTCCCCTACTGTTCTTTCCTCCGGGTGCAATCGGTTTTACTACTATCTTGAGGGGGACAGTGTTTGTTGCCCAACTTCTCACAGACTAAGACTTCTGTTCCATAAAGGAATTAGGAAAGAAGGGTCTGTGTAAGGTTTCTTACCTCTTTAGCATGGCCAGTCTTCGTCTCTCTCGGGTCTGAAACACAATAGAGACTTTTTAAGGGACCTTTCTAACTATTCTATGACTACCCCATGAGATTCATTGGGAAGGAACATGCAGGAGAGTTCAGACTCTTTACACTTCTGAAGTGTTTACAGGCTTTAACCTCTCCACCAGTCTGCACATAGCTTTCACCTACGAATTAACTATTTTTGGTAAACTATTTATATTGACATCTGATTGCATTTATCCAGATATTTGACTGCTCACATTTCTTCTCTTTCTACAGGTGCCTGTATCTTCACAGATTTTGGGTCAGTTGGTTGTTCTGAAATACTATCTCTCTTGGATTGGAAAAAAGTCATACATTTGAAGTTAATTCAATCCTATTCTCTTATTATAATGATAACAGTAACATTCTCTCCAGTTCTCTATATCACAGAGCAAAAGTCAGATTTCTCTTTATAATTTATTTTTACATTACTAGTTATTTGCAAAGTAATTCACACATATCAAGAGTTCAATAATTAAAATATTTAATGCATGCAATATTCATGTATGCATGCCCGAGTTCCTCCACAATCAACCAGCACAGCAGGAACACCATACAGCAGCAGAATGGGTTAGCAAATCATGACACTATATATCACTTCCATGTTAAGACTATGCTACTAAATTCTAGGTTTTCTAGTTTTTCTGTTCTACAGTTCTTTTCCACCATCTACAGAAAGATCTTGGATTAAATTTAGGAATATAATGTGTTTTTAAGTTTTGTGATAAATGAACAGTGATTTTTTTTTTTACATACAAAGCAAAATATACCTATTTTTAGAGACGGAGTCTTGATATTTTGCCCAGGCTAGTCTCAAACTCCTGGTTTCAAGAGATTCTCCCACCTTGGCCTCACAAAGTGCTGGAGTTATAGACATGTGCCACCATGCCTGGCCAAAGCATATTTTTTCATGAATATGCATGGTGCACAATATTTTGAGGTATTAACTAATATTTTTTTACCCTTGTAGATTTTATTTTTTCGTTCTGCTGACTTTTATCCAACCCAAACAGCTGAAGATACTGCGTTCACTACTTTGGAAAGGGAGAACAACAAGGTGAGGATAAAAAATAACCAAACACTTGTCTAAAATGTAGACTCTTGGGAAAAACAGCACGTTTGGAAGAAGACATTATCAATGAGAGCCAGTATTTCACCCAGTTGAAGACTAGAAAAGTTTTCTTGAATTGTGTGGCACAATAGAGTTTAGAAGCTGGCTGGTGCAACTCTGTGAAGTGATCTTGTGCACTATTACTCTCAACTCTGAAGAAAGAAGCAAAGAATGTACAGATGGATCAACAGAAGTAACCCATACCAAAATACAAAAAGAAAAGAATAGTGAGGGTAGCGAATAGTACTAAACAGTTGAGAGACGTGGAACTATATAGAATAGTTTAATATGTAAGCAATTAAAGTCTTAGCAGAAGAAGAGAGACCAGAGAAATAGAATGTGGGAGAAAATCAAATTTAAGGAAAAAAATTAAAATTAATTACAGACAGCAAACCATGAATTCAAGAACAACAGAGACTACCAAGCAGAGTTAAATCCAAACAAATCAAAATAGGTATGTCATACTCAAACTGCTGAAAACTGAGACCAAGAGATATTCTTTCTCTGCCAGAGAAAGAAGAAACAATATATAGAGAGGACAAAGAATAAATATTACAGTAAACTTCTTAACAGAAAACAGGCAAACCAGAACACCAAAAAAGTGACGTCTATAAATCTCTGAAAGGAAAGCAACTGTGAATTGAGAATTCTGTATCCAGCAAATAAATGTTTAGAGAAGTGAAAGAAAAATTAAAACTTTCTCAAACAAACAAACATAAAAAACTGTAAGAACTCATCCTAAGACTACTTTTCAAGAAATGTTAAGGCTGGATGTAGTGGCTAATGCTTGTAATCCCAGTACTTTGGCAATCTGGGCAGGTGGATCACCTGAGGTCAGGAGTTCGAGACTAGCCTGACCAACGTGGTGAAACCCCGTCTCTACTAAAAATACAAAATTAGTGGGGCGTGGTACCTCACGCCTGTAATCCCAGCTACTCAGGATGCTGAGGCAGGAGAACCGCTTGAACCCGGGAGGTGGAGGTTGCAGTGAGCCGAGATTGTGTCAATGCACTCCAGCCTGGGCAACAAAAGCAAAACTCCATCTCAATAAAACAATTTTTTTAAAAAAATGATTTTTAAAAAATTGGCTGGGCGCGGATTGGATTACGCCTGTAATCCCACCACTCTGGGAGGCCGAGGCGGGTGGATCACAAGGTCAGGAGATTGAGACCATCCTGGCTAACACGGTGAAACCCCATCTCTACTAAAAAAATACAAAAGATTAGCCGGGCGGTGATGGGCGCCCGTAGTCCCAGCTACTCGGGAGGCCGAGGCAGGAGAATGGCCTAAACCCGGGAGGTGGAGCTTGCAGTGAGCCGAGATCGGGCCACGGCACTCCAGCCTGGGCGACAAGGCGAGACTCTGTCTCAAAAAAAAAAAAAAAAGTTCTGGGCAGAATGATTATGATGTCAGACTGAAAGTAGGATCTACACAAAGAAATGAATAATGGAGCACTAGAAAAAAAAGGAAGGTAAATTTTTTTACATTTAATTTATCTAAAAAATGTGAATGTGCAAACCAAAAATTGTTGCAATGCATTTTGTGTTTGTAGTATATACAAAAGTAGTATGTATAACAAAGCACAAAAAAATGAAAAGGGCAGATCGAGTAGTATAATACGAGTTATACCATGGAAATATTGCAGGTTCAGTTTTCAGACCACCTCAATTAAGGAAATATTGCAATAAAGTGAGTCAAATAAATATTTAAGTTTCCCAGTGCATATAAAAGCTATGTTTATGCTATACTATAATCTACTAAATGTGCAATAGCAGTATGTCTTTAAAAACAACATACATACCTTAATTTGAAAATATTTTATTGCTAAGACATGCTAACAATCATCTGAACCTTCAATGAGTCATAATCTTTTTGCTGGTGGAGCGCCTTGACTCAGTATTGATAGCTGCTGACTGATTAGGATGGTAGTTGCTATTAAGTTCGGAGTGGTTGTAGCAATTTCATAAAATAAGACAATGGAATTTGCTGCATTGATTGACTCTTCCCTTCACAAAAGATTTGACTGTAGTATGTGATGCTGTTTAATAATATTTTACCTACAGTAGAACTTTTTTCAAAATTAACATCAATCCTCTCAAATCCTGCCACTGCTTTATCAACTAAGTTTATGTCACATTCTAAATTCTTTGCTATCATTTCAACGTATTTATAGGACGTTCAAGAGGAGCAGACTCCAATTCAAGAAACCACTTTTTTTGCTCAACCACAAAAAGAAGCTCCTCATTTATTCAAGTTTTAGCGTGAGATGGAGCAATTCAGACACAAATTTGAGCTCCACTTTTACTTCTAGTTCTCTTGCTCTTTTTATCACATCAGCAGTGACTTCCTGAACTGGGGTTTTGAACTCCTTAGAGTCACCCATGAGGGTTGGAATCAAGTTTTTTCAAACTCCTATTAATGTTGATAGTTTCACCTTCTGCCATGAATCATGAATGTTCTTAATGGCATTTAGAATGGTGAGTCCTTTCCAAAGGTTTTCAATTTATCTTGCCCAGATCCTCAGATAAGTCACTATCTAAGGCAGCTAGAAATGTACAATATGTATTTATTAAATAATAAGACCTGAAAGTTAAAGCTACTCCTTGATCTGGGAGCTGAAGAATGGCTGTTGTGTTAGCAGGCATGAAAACATTCATCTTCTCATACCTCTCCATCAGAGATCTTGGGTGATGAGGTGCATTGTCAATGAGCAGTAATATTTTGGAAACAAAAAACTCTTAAGGGCCATAGGATTTTCAGAATCCTACATAAATGAGCATTAAATCCACTGCTGCGTTAGCCCCTAACAAGAGAGTCAGCTTGGTCTTTGAAGCTTTGAAGCCAGCAGTTGGCTTCTCCTCCTAGCTATGAAAGTCCTAGATGGTGTTTCCTCTAATAGAAGGCATTTCATCTACATTAAAAATGTGTTGTTTAGTATAGCCACCTTCATCAATGACCTCAGCTGAATTTTCTGGATAACTTGTTGCCCCTTCTTTCTTAAACTTTTGTTATTGAGATGGCTTCTTTCCTTAAATCTCAAAAACCAGCCTCTGCTGTCTTCAAACTTTTCTCCTGTGGCTTCCTTAACTTCTCTCAGCCTTCATAGGACTGAAGAGAATTAAGACTTTTCTAGATTTGGATTTTGCTTACAGGTATGTTGTGGCTGGTCTGATCTTCTGTCCAGATCACTCAAACTTTCTTCATATCAGCAATAAGGCTGTTTTGCTTTCTTCTCATTCATATGTTGACTGGAGCAACACTTTTAATTTTTTAAGAAAACTTTTACTTTGCATTCACAAACTTGGCTAATTGTTTAGGGCAAGTGGCCTAGCTTTCAGCCTTTATTGGCTTTTGACATATCTTTCTCACTGTTTAATCATTCCTAGTTTTTTATTTTAAATGAGAGACATATAATTCCTCCTTTCACTTGAACACTTGGAAGCCATTGTAGGCTATTAATTGGCCTAATTTTGATATTGTTGTGTCTTTGGGAATAGGGAGGCCCAAACAGGGAATAGGGAGGCCCAAAGAGAGGGAAAGAGATGAGGCATGGCTGGTCATTAGAGCCAATAGAACACACACAGCATTTATGGAATAAGTTTGCGGTCTTATATGGGTGCAGTTTATGTTCCCACCAAACAATTACAATGATAACGTCAAAGATTGCTGACCACAGTTCATCATAACAGATATAATAATAATAATACAAAAATTTAAAGTATCTTGAGAATTACCAAAATGTGGCTGACATAGAGACACAAAGTGAGTATATACTATTGCAAAAATAGCACTGACAGACTTGCTCAATGCAGGGTTGCCATAAACCTTCTATTTATACAAAATGTAATGCAAAGCACAATAAAATGAGGTATATCTGTATTTGAAAGTAGGATATCAAGGGAAATTTGAAATGTAGACCATGACAAATGAATCTAACTGTATTATACATTAATTATATAACTGTACATAAGAGAATGGGGGGAAAGGTCCTGAACTAAGTAATTTTGGAAAACAGTTTTCTGACAGGGTACTATAAAACTAAAGGCAAAAAGACTAACTATGCTGAAACACCATTCTGTAGTTTATACATTTGTTTTTTATTAGGGGTACGTGGTACCATTTCTCAAACTACTTTATTTTTATACTAGGGTTGAACAAATAAGTAAATATGTACTATGAGAGCTATGTTTCTCATCATTGAATAAAAGACATTGAAAAATACAGAAAGATAGAGTCTACAGTGAACCCTGTGGGGCATGACTGAAATCAGAAGCATCAATAAAGATTCCTTTTAAAAGTGTATATATATACAGAGAGATAGACACAGAAATAAATGTAGATATGTGTCATATGTTAATATGTAGGAACCAACACTGAAAAAACTCTCAATGTCCAAATTTGGAACAATTCAAACAATAAAATACATAATGAGAGTATTGAATTCTAACCCAATAAATTAGAAGAATTCCTACATCCATACCGGAATAGGCAGATAGATACATAGATACATAAAAGATCAAGGAAATCGCTTCCTTACAGATGATTTCCAGGTAAGAAATGTAGAAAGAATAAAGAAAGTATAAACTCACCATAAGAACACCATGATATTCTGTTTTTATGAAAATTCCAATTATGACTAAATTCGTGGGCAAAGTTTAAGGAGAAATAAGATCTCTGCATAGTTTCAAAAT